TCCAAGCTGGAGAAGATTCTGGGTCTAAACCTTGATGTAGTTTGAATGAGAATGGTTCCCATAGGCTTGGTCCTCAGTTGGAGGAACTGTTTGGGAAGGATTAGGAGGTGTGGCCTTCTTAGAGGAGGTGTGTCACTGGGGGAGGGCTCAGAGGTCTCAATAGCCCAGGCCAAACCCAGTCTGCCTTGTAGATCTCAGCTATTGCTCCACCACCATGCCTGCCTGCTGTCACGCTCCCTGCTATGATGGTCACAGACCATCTGAAACTGTAAGCAAGCCCCAAATTAAATGCATTCTTTTCAAATTAGCCTTGGTCATGGTGTTTTTGTCCCAGCAACAGAACAGTAATTAAGACACCTGACTCCACCGTTTCCACCCCTTTACCACATGGTTACTGACGATCCCTTTAGCCTAGGCTTAGGTGAAGGCATGTCACTCCACGGAGCCTATTTCCTTTACTGATAAGCATCTTGTTTTCACTTATCAAACTCCTGTCCTCAACCATCTGAAAACACCAGCCACTTGCTTTCCCAGATTCCCTTACCACTGAAGCATGAGTGTGTGATCAATGGGAGAGGTTGTCCTTAAAGGAAAATAAAACAGAGCAGATTTTGGAGCACAGGAGGAAATAGCTTTTCTAGGGGGATTAGACATCTTTGTGTCTACATTTGAGTGCTGGAACCTTCTGACACGCAGCATCAAGAATAAGGACTAAGTCCTGTTCAGGGTCTAGAGAAGCAGAGAGATGCAAAGAATAGTGAACTCTGGGCTGGTGAGATGGTGCAATAGAGGACAGCCCTCGCTACCAAGCTTGATGATCTGAGTCTAGTTCCCAGGACCCACGTGTGGGAGGAGGGAACCAACTGTCACAGTTGTCCTCTGACTTCCACAACAGTGTTATTGCACTCGAACACAGAACACATGAAGTCAATAAATAATAAGTAAATGTAACAAAATACATGTAGTTCAAAACAACAACACTTAGGGCCAGCAAGATGGCTCAGCAGGTAAGGAGCCTTTCCATCAAGCCTGACTCACATGGTGGAAGGAGAGAACTCAGTCCCCCAAATTGACCTCTATACATGCTCTTAGGTACATACAAAACAACAATGTAACTAAACACACACACACACACACACACACACACACACACACACACACACACACACACACACACAGAGAGAGAGAGAGAGAGAGAGAGAGAGAGAGA